AATGGTTGATTATGTTATGTCCAATCTTATGTCCTTGCTAATGTATTTTTTTCTAGCTATTCTATCAATTGGTGAGAAAGGGCAGGGGTTCCCCTCTTTCTGTACATGTGTTCTCATTATTCAGCTCTCACTTGTGAGAACAGGTGGTATATATTTTCTGTTCCTGCATTAGTTTGTTAAGGATAATGGCTTCCAGTTCCATCCATGTTATATATGATCTTGTTCCTTTTTTATGGCCACATAGTATCATATGTACCGTAGGGTATATATGTACGACATTTTCTTAGGTTGGTTCCATGCCTTTATGGTAGAATGATTTATGTTAGGATTTCTTTAAAAAATATTTTTTTCCTGCCAAAAATATCTTTTTAAAATTAAAACAGTAATGATATTTTAATTTACTTCATCAAGCATAGGCATAATGGCTGTTTTTAAATCCCATCCTAATAATTCAGAATCTAAATCCTATCAGGTTAAACATCTGATTTTCTTTTCCCTTTTGATTAAGCTCCATTTTCATAATATTTTATGCCTTGAAGAATTTTGGATTTCATATTGGACATTGTAGTTCTCATGTATAGCCTCTGGATTCTGTGACATTTCTCTGAGTTTGTTGGTGTTTGGTTTCAGCAAGCAATTACCTTGCTTAGACTGAATTGCCAAATGCTACACCTGTGGTGGGGTGTGGCTCAGACTTCAGACTCTTAAGCTTTAGTCGTGAGTTGTTTTCAATTTGCCACTTCATAGCTGGTTCAAGTGTCAGCCACACTCGTGTTGGCAGTTTATGTACATATTTAAGAGCTCCCCTTTCCTACCCTTCTCTTTCATGGAGTTTCTTCCTCACTTTCTGGCAACCTAGGTTTCTCCTGGTTTCTGAACAATGCCATGTCTTTCTGTGGTTGTTTTATTCAGCGGTTCCCAACCTGTTTGGCACGAGACAGGTTTCATGGAAGACAATTTTTCTATGGACCAGGGGGTTGGTGGGGGCTGAGGGATAGTTTTGGGATGAGTCAGGCATATTACATTTATTGTGCACTTTATTTCTACTACTATTACATTGCAGTACATAATGAAATATGCATACAACTCACCATAATGCAGAATCAGTGGGAGCCCTGAGGTTGTTTTACAGCAACTAGATGGTCCCATCTGGGGGTGATGGGAGACAGTGACAGATCATCAGGCATTAGATTCTCATAAGGAGTGCACAGCCTGGATCCCTTTCATGCGTAGTTCACAACAGGATTTGCGCTTCTATGAGAATCTAATGCTGCTACTGATATGATAGGAGGTGGAGCTCAGGTGGTAACGTCAGCCATGGGAAGCTGCTGTAAATAAACTCAGATGAAGCTTTGCTCCCTTGCTGGCTGCTGCTCACCTCCTGCTCTGCAGCCTGGTTTCTAACAGGCCACAGACCGGTACTGGTTCATGTCCTGGGGGTTGGGAACCACTGGTTTTAGTCATCCCACTGCCATGGCCAATACTGCTTTGCTGTGACTAAATCTGTCCCGAGCCTAAAGCTGCAGCCAGAGAAAGGAAGAAGCTGTCATTTATTTGTTTCTAGATCTGACTTTCCTCTACAAATGGCTTGCTTTTTTCAGAGACCCAGGAACTTGCTTTTGTATTTTGTCCAGTGTAAGGTAAATAGATGTGCTTTGGTTAAGAACAGGCTGAGGTAAACATCCTGCACAACTCAACAAGATTGGAGTGCAGGTGCATGATTCCATGCATTATGTAAACATAGCTATGTAGCACGTCACCTGGCTCGGAGCCACTATTGTTTGTAAACGGTATAACTGCCCTGCTGATGCTGTGCATATGGCATGCCCAGAGAAAGAGAGAGACCCAGAGTGGTTTTGTTTTACAGATGAACACAGGGGAGTCAGGACACAGGTCAGATTTATGCCCAGAGAGACAGTGAAGCTGCTGAATCTGTAAGGGAGAGCTGGTCACCTGAAGGCAGGCATGCGGGAGCCAGAAACCAGCTTGGGCTGAGAGGGAGAGAGTGAAGCTGCTGACCCTGTAAGAGGGAGCCAGCTATGCATTGGAGCAGCAAGAGCCACAGAGCTGGCTGCTGAGAAGGGCATAGCTGGAGCAAGCAGCGGAGATAAAGGTGAACACGTAAGTAAGCTCCTGATGAGACAGACAGTGTGGGAGAGCTGCTGAATAAAGTCATGTGTCATCTACCTGCCATTTCTTGAGAGTTCTTCCAGCTCCCTAGCCCTAACTATCTTCTCCCCTCAGACTTCAGCTGGGGCTTGAACCTGACATCCAGCATTTCTATCTGTCATTTGTGGGACAATTATATTGTCAGAGGATCACTGTTACACACTGAAAATGAAAACACAAAGTGGTATTTTAAGACTATAATGCCAGACCCAGGCTTAAACCCTGTCATTGACTCTCATCACCTGCAGTTTAATTCAGTTTTTCTGACCTCTTCTCCTACACTCAGTCACAACAGATCTCTTTCAGATCCTTGATCACACTGAATTGTCTCCACCTCATTTTTTTGGTAGTGATTTTTAAAAAATTTTTCTTTCTTCTTGGAATGAACTTCCTTTATATCTCTGAATTTGTTAAGGACTGACTTTTTTTTGTTGTTGTTAAGTTTTAGCCTACTCATATCTACAGCCATTATTCATTAATTCTGTATTATATTCTTTAATAAAAAACACATTTATTACATATATACATTGTTTTATGTTATTAAGAGGTTAATATCAATGATAGACTAGAGCGCCATCTTTCCAATACTGTATCCCCAGCACATGGCCCAGTGCCACATTCATGCTGAGGCCTCCATAAACATGTCTGATAAATGTTAATGACTTGGAATTCCATATCAGGCTAACAAATAGAACATGTTTTGACAATTCACAGAAAAACTCAAGGAATGAAGTTTGCCTTAAAATTCACAGCTCACAGTGGAAGCCAAATGATTTTAATGAGGCAGTCTGCAAGATAAATAGGAGTTAGCACTTTCTTTAGCTCTGAGCACTGCCATGGAGTGCCTGGGATTGCCTCTGTAGGATAAGGAGTAGGCAAGGTAGTAGAAATCAAGAGAATATAAAATAAGAAGGAAGGGCTGTTCCACATGCCTCCTAGAGATGACCCTTTCTCTTCATTTGGCTAACACACTACCAATATCAATTCGGCCATTCAAGTATCTTCTTTGCGGAGAAAGTTTACCTGAGTTCCAAATTAGAAAACATGCTCTTTCTTCAGCAATCTATGACTACTTCTCCATCTGTACTTGCTATAGTGAATCAGAGTTATTTGTATATTTGTATTTTCTACTAGAATGCAAGCCTTTTGGGCAAGACTGTGTTTCATGCTTCTTTGTATTTCCAACCAGGAGTGGAATGCCTGGTATACAACAGACATTCCATGCCCATCTGTGTCCAAATTACCAATCCATAGGGGGTTAGAGGACTAGCGTGTGTCTACCTTTTTTCAGATAAAAGATAGCTGAGTCCAGAGATAAGATAATAATTCTTTTTGACAACTGTTCCTATTTCATTTGTAAGTAAAAATAAACCCAGCTGTACTGGCCAGAGAGCTCCAACTAGTACATGTCACTAATCAGCAGGCAGGAATTCTAACCAGTCATCCAAAGAAGACATAATATGCTCAGCCCTTCAAAATTTTTCTCACAAAGTAAATATCAGGGACTCATGTTTTTACAATCTGGCAGTTCCTCATTAAGTTAGGTTTAACATTATTGCTAAAGTAATAATCATAGTCATAACAAAAAGATACCAGTAAGACTTTAGAATTCAAATAATTGCATACGATTAGATTGAGAAGTAGTATGCTGGCTGTTTTATGAAACCATATATCAAATAGTCTTTAGAGGCATAAAACAATTTTAAAATTCATCTACTTATGAGAAAACCAAACACTCATGAGCTAGCAAGTGAATGGACAGAAACTTTAACTTGTATCCTCTGGCAGTAAATCTATATTAATATATGGAGTACTTGGCTGAGTACAGTAGCTCATGCCTATAATCCCAGTACTTTGGGAGGTCAAGGCAGGAGGATTGTTCGAGACCAGCAACATAGCAAGACCCCCATGTCTATCTATATTTAAAGTATTTTTTAAAATTATATATACATATATCGTTTCTAGACAGTTTTACAAACTCAAATTTTAAGCTCTTTGATCCAGTTTAAATACAATATGATTACTAGTTAATATTCATAGCTAATAATACTATTTACTGTAAAAAATCTTTTAAAAAAGAAATTACAACAATATAAAAATAAAATTCCACAAATTCATAACATTATCTGGGATAACTTATTCCATGTATTACCAATGGGAAATTACAGTCTTTACTAAGCATTCCACCAATAAGCAACACTGTTCTATAATTCTGAGTTTTGACCATGAATCCTCTGTATTACTATAAAATGTCTAGCTGTGTTTTGATGTTATCATGAAAGATATATTTAGCATCATTCTGGGGTTATGTTTTATACTCTTTTAATTCTTAGGAAATTGATATTTTATGCCTAGTATTCATGCCTTACCTCTACACATCAGCATATTCAATGATCATTTTCTTGTTAAGGAGCTTACAAAACAGCAAATGCCATACACATTAACAGTATCATTAGCACTGCTAAAGGCAGCCCCCAATTTTTATCTAGTAAATATTGTTCACAGTTTACATCAAGTAACAAATGCACAATTAACCTGAATAGAGAGAAAATACATACTCAGCAACTTAGAAAATGATTTGGCTGAGTTATGAGTCATCTCATTTTGCAAAGTAGCAATAAAAATAAGTCTTTCATTTTGCAAAGGTACCACTGGCATTTAAAACACATTATTAAAATAAAGGAGAAAAATATCTTTTGCATTTTATCAGAAAAGGGCATTTTATCCCAGCCATTAATTTTTGCTTTGGATATTTCATCTATTAAAGAAATATCTCCACAAGTCTTCGAGGGCCCAGTTATTCCCCAGGGACTCCCAGGACTGTGACTTACCTTATGAAAGTTTCTGAAATAAGCTGCCTTTTCATCTGGAAATTTTTCTAACCTTCTGGGTCCTTTGCTAGAAGCCTTCTTGAAAACCAACCAGCATCTTCTGAAAATCTGAAAGCAAATAAAATAAAGGAATCCCATTATTCATCTTTTTACGTGAGTTTATGACATCAAGAGTTTATTTATTCAATTAATCCACTGGGAGCACTTTTTTTAAGTGCACTTACTTCACCGAGAGGAAATGTTTTTGATTGACAAACATGTTCTTAAGATTACAGTGTATTTTTAAAATATAATATTTCATATAAAACAATTTTTTTGTGAAAAGATTGTGTTTTGAAGTTTTCGCTGTATTGGCTGGTTTCAGTAGTCTTTAACATAACTAAATCACTTGGATGTCAACACCATATAAATTACTTATTATCACCATCCTACTGACTGGCAATTCTCCATCTTCCATGCTAGTGCAATGGCAGGTTAATAAAGTTAAATGAAATACTTACATAATACTCAATTTTCTGTCTTTGAAAAAAAAATCACATTTGAAAATTAACTTGTGGAATTTCAGATTTTTAAAAATATTCATTAATAATTTTGAAAGTAGCAATAAATATATGTTTATAATGTGAACATTTGTCTGATCCTTTCTTTACTTTTGTAATAGGAAGTATTTATTAAATACTTATGTGCAATAAATTAAAATTTATATACATATTTAGTCCTTATAATGAAATGAGATAGAGACCTAGAATGGGCATTACTTTCATTTCAAGATAAAGTATGTGACAATGTCAGGATTTGAACACACACATCTGAACCTTAAGCTTTGGTTGAACAAAAAAAAGCAAGACAACTAATTATACTAACACAAACCATAATTTCTGAACCTTGCCCTTATTTTATAGACCTGATTAATATTGCACCTCTAGATTGTTCGTTCTATATTTTCTACCATATCACACTCCCTCAACAGGTAGGTTTGAAGACAAGGTAATAAAATGAATTTTTCCCAATAATCGAAGAAGTCTAAAAATGCAAGTTGGCCACATCTTTTAAATTTCAAATTTTAGTGCAGTCTTTGCTGGTGGATAATTTCTTTATACCCATGAGGAAACTGATAGAAGGAAATTTCTGGTATCTAGATCACAATATTTCTCTTCTATGTCTTCATTTAAATTGCAAAGTTGTCATGCTGTGTTTTCGTTCTACAAGTATAACCCAGGTAATAGAATTCCTTTGAAGTCTACATTGTTTATTACTCACAAGAAGGCAGTCTTTTCCATGTTAAAGGCATTCTTACAACAGTCACATAAAGGCCTCTCATTATAAAAGTAGAACAACCAAGATACACATACTTTGACTTTACTCTTTCTTTCTTGCATACTTTTCAGAAGTCTTGAAAAGCATGTGTAGGACAACCTTAAACTTCCTGTACACATGAACATGCCTCTCCTCTGCCTGGATCAGATGCACCTTCCCTAACAAATGCTTCCCAGCCATGCACCAGAAAATTACGAACCAAATTACTCCTTTAGCGCTCCTGGTGTTCTATCTACATACAAATCTTGTATTTCACACATAATATTGTTATTATTTGCTTATTTGGCCCCTTACTGATCCACACCCCTAAAGCGAAACAATATTTAAAAATTAAATGATTAGAATATGATCAGTATATGGTTTGCTCAGCTCTAATTAGTTCTACATCGATTTATTTAGTGCTATCGAATTCTGCTTTTGAACTTAAATGAAGTAATTGCATTTCAAGTGGTAACAGATTTTGGAAATGCAAATATCTAAGAAGAGACAGTTTGGTACAGCAGAAACTTAACAGAGCTTTGGAATCAGACAGACATAGATTGACATTATAGCTATGCCACTTACTAGCTGTGCAACCTTACACAAATTATGTAGTGTCTTAGCTAATAAAGAAGGGTACGTCATGAAACAGAGGGAGGATTTACCAAGATGCGCTTATGTTGTAGTACAAAGAAGACTCTCCACAAGGTGCAGCCATTTCTCAAGCCCTTTTTTCTTACAGAGTAAGTACAATTTTCTGCACATGACAAAGCCATATGAAGGGATACTTTTTTTCCTAATGACATACAATTCTATTAAATATTCAGCTCCAGAATATTCAGATGCAAATATTTTGCAACCAGAAAAATTAGAGCACCATATAATAATTTTTAAAAAACAGAAATTATATTAATGTTCTCCCAAATACACACTGTGAAACTACAAATATTAGACTTGGAATTCCAGCTCAGCCCCTTCCTGGAGCCAGATAACTTTGGACAAGGCATTTAGCTCTCTGAGCTTGTGTCTTTAAATTAGCTTGAGGATGATTAAGTGTTAAGTGTTAAGAAATTAAGTATATAAAGCTCATGCTACAGTGCATACAGCGTAGTCAGTACACACAGGGCATTTTAATACAAAACGGATAAAAGGCTCTTAGCAACAGACCTTGTTCAGCACATCTATAACTATTATGGATATTTACATATACTGTAAAAGTTGTTGCTTGCCTCAATATAGTTTTAAAGATTTCAAATGATTTTCATAATTATCAGAATTAGGTTATATATAATATCAATGGACAAAACTGTTTATTCTATTGAATACACATATGAGTTCCTGCTCATTTCACAGTTTGGATACTGTTAAGCAATACAGCTGTTTATATTGACATTCACTAATACATGACTGAAAAAAAGAAAAAAGGCATCAAATTAGTCTTCCTAAAATTACTCTTCACCATACAGCACGAAATAATTTTTACGCAGGATAAATCATTTCACTCAGTCTTTAATACAATTCACACCTTTGTAACAGAATTCAGGATATTATATTTTAATACCTGAAAACATAGTTTTTTTTTTTGTCACAACAATTTTTTAGTGCACGTTCTGCCATTCATTAAATACCTTCACTTGCAGAAGTTAAATTAAGATCAATATGCCTCGTGAAGATGCCCTTTGAGGATTACAAGACATAACCTGAAGAAAGCATCTAGCATCTGAATTTAGAAAGTAATCCACAAACTCTTACATGAAACTTTTGGGTTTCTAATACTGCCATGACTGAACTACATCCCCATAGAATTCATCTACTGATGCCCTAATTCCCAGTGTACTAACATTTGGATATGGGGCCTTTGGGAAGTAAGGAGGGTTAGATGGGGTCATGAGGGTTGGCCTTGATAATGGCATTAGTGCTCTTATAAGAAGACAAAGGAGAGAACTTGCTTGCTCTCTCTCTCTCTGCTTACTGACAAGGAAGAGGTCACATGAACGTATAGTGAGAATGTGGCTGTCTGCAAGCCAGGAAGAAAGCCTTCACCAGAACCCAACAGGGTCGGCACCCTATCTCAAACTCGCAACCTACAGAACTGTGAAAAAATAAATTTCTGTGGTTCAAGACACCTGGTATATGTTTTGTTACAGAAGTTGGATCTAAGGTACTTTTAGATATATTTTTTTAAACTAGCAGTGATGGTGGAATAGTGCTGGTTCTGGTAGTTGTCAGAGTAATAATACTGAGGAAGTAAAAGACAGTTACATGAATCTGAGATTGAGAGACTGGTAGCAGAAAAAGAATATTATCTGCAAAGTGAGATGTATGGAGATTATCGCTATTTGATCTTTTAGCTATTCATTAATAGATCTGGAGTCTTGAGTAATAAAATTGAGACTCAAATCCCTAGTAATATAGTTGTTGTCTTTTTGTGCAGAGGAATGCTTTCCCCTTACTTTCTATTTCTTTTTTACTCATAGCTTCGGAACAATCATGATGTTGAAAGAAACCTTATAATATTCATGGAAATACATAAATACACAAATACACATACTCACTGACCGCAATTCCCCATATAATGTTATCATAGTTATTTTCTATGAAAGAGTGAGTTAAACATGAGCCAGAAGGCATAAGTTTTTCTATTTATGCACTCAACATTGTTTTAAAATAAGCCTGATAATAGATAAGGAAAAAGAGATTGAATATTTTTGAGAGTATCTTATTGCTTTGCTATTACATTAAGAAAGGCAACCACGCAGAGATAAGACTGATCTTTAAAGATTCTATATAATAGACTGTTTACCAAGTTGAGGCCCTGAATATTTTTCATTTTGGAATAAGTTTAGGTTTATAAACAGTGGCAAAAATGGTGGAATTCCTGTATACTCTATACAGCTTCCTCTAATATTAGTATCCTATATAACCACAGTACATTTTCAAAACTAATACATTAATATTGGTAAAATACTATTAACTAAAGATTCTGCTCAGATTTTGTCAGATTTTTCTTGTCCTGTTCTGTTTCAAGACCTAACACAGGATATCAAATTGCATTTAGTGGTTCTATCTCCTTAGTCTCTTCTGATATGTGACACTTTGTGTTGCACGACCCAAACAGTTTTAAAGTGTAACGGTTGGGTACTTTGTGCGATGTCCTTCATTTCTGTTTGTCTTAAGTTATTTTTGATATTTTAAAGGCCTAATAAAAGTCTCACAATCAAGTAATGAAAACATATAATTTGTTAGGAAATATGAATTCACCATGGCTATGGACTAGTTATATTTTGATCAGATCTCTGGCTAGATTTTAAACCTGAAGTAGCAAAAAAATTAAATGCTAAGTGCAGAGTTCCAACTTCCACCCCTCTATGGACACAGTTTTTCAAAGTATTTTGCTTTTTAATAGGAGTAAAATAATAGAAAGGGCGCTGGTGTGGAGACTTTGCAAGTGTCATTCTGTGTCAATGTGAAATCAAATTAAGCATGAGTCAGCACACTAAAAGCCACCTCTGTACCAGAAGTATAAAATACGCAGAAGTACAAGGAGATCACCTTTTGGTACTCTTCGTCAAACCAGATTTTATTAGTGCATTAGGATCTGCTTTAGGCTCTATAACTAATGCCTTATGTGAGAGTGTTGGAGAAATTCCAGGACTGAACAGCAGAAATGACTGCCTGAGACTAGGAAATCACTCCCTGGAGAAAAAAATAATAATAAAGGAATAGGTTTTATTTTGCTTATAAATGAAAGATACAAATTCTTTGAGTACATGAAAGAGCACCACATAAATGAGATGCAGTACCTTATTTTT